TGATAGCGCCAGATATGGTATACGAGGGGACAGGCACGGGCAGATATCGTGTTCTGACCTAGTCCAATTAAGCTTGTCGCAATTAGTAGGTTGTTATTGATACCAGACCATCGGGCTCGTATAGGAGGGGAAGCATTGGTTCGTAAATTGTAACTTCATCCCTAACATCCACCATCCATGTAAGTCATATGAGCAACCAAACGTCATAGCAATGAAGTACAGAAGTTAGAGTCACGAGCTCAATCTAGAATGCAACTACAGAGCCATTTGTACGAACATCCTAATTACTCCACGAACTCTCATACCTTCAGTGACCCCTCTCGACCACTCAACCTTTCCCCACTAAACCACCCGCCCTCAGAGTTCCTCATTATCATGGTTTATCCTTTTGGAAGCGCTCACTATCACTTCAGTTCACAGTAGTCCATCCTGACTGAGGATAATATTCATGTTTACAAGGCAGAGCGCATTTATTTACACCAAGAGACAAAGAAAACACTAGCGAATAGTTTCCTGTTCTGTTTGATCTTTCGGCGAACGTGATTATAGATCGTAACACTACGAAAAGAAGGTTTTCGGGTGTACTTCGAAAAGATTTTATTGGTGGCGCGTCCACAGAAAATCGCAGAGTACCGCTGGAAACACAAAGAAAGGGGACCTCGGATACGGCTTCCAGCAGATATACGTCTGTCCAAATCTCGCCTAGGTTTGGCCAACCAAAGAGCTTTCAGAAAGCCCTAATTTGGAGTTGACATTTAAGTGGGCGGATTCCCGACTGAAATGGATTATAAAGATTGGTGTGAGTGCTAAAAATATCTTCAGATATTATGGGAGTAGGCCATGGTCAGGTTTTTGAGAAGAACTGAATGCGTGTTTGGAAGAGATGAGAAGGTCGTATGATTATGATGAATTTTGAGAATTTCAATCTTTCAATTTTGAGTTTAAAAATTCAAAGTAGAGAGGCTTACAGACAAAGAGTGTGTAGGACCCCTGTAGTGTGTTTAGATGACAAGGTGTTGGGTGTTCATCCCGAACAGCTTACAGCACATGGCGGCTCTTAGGCAGTTGTCTCACCACACAACTCACGGTTCAAGGCCCCATCTGCATTTGAACTTGAAGAGAACTACCACTCACTGTTCGTTACCGTACTCATGGACCAGAACTAAATTAGGGGTTTCTTACGTACTCGAATGGAGGATATGACCACACCTCTTATCTTCTCCTATTATTTTGATCCCCAAGCCCTATAATACTGTATAGCGTAATATTACCCTTCACAAGGAGTAATTACAATTGCTATGAAGTAGAGAGCCCTGGCCAAAATTTCGGGTGGACGACCATCCTAATGACCGCTGGTAAAATTTCAAGGCTAACAGAGAAACCAAGCAATTGATTAGACAGACTTTATATAAGGCTGAACAATCTGGAAAGAATACTTCCGGGTATTTTCCCCCAAGAAAATTTTAGGATAGATTTCCACGAACCCATTTCCTTGGACCGAAATTGAACGGAAATTAAGCATGTTTTTTCTTAGGCGTTCTTAAGTTCTTTTCTCATCAAGTTAGCTATTCAGCACTTCAAAATACTCAACAGGAACCATTACCATACTGGAAGGCATGAAGGCATCTGAATGGGCATTATTTGCCCTACTCTACTTTAATGCATGTGGGCCGTACGCGTTCAATCGTGTCTGCAAATCCTAATAAAAGTCGACTAAGCGGCGCAACTTTCACAAAACGATGAAAGTTCATCCCTTTTGTTGTTAGTTCCGTGGTTCCAATTTTAAACTTCAAATTTCAGTATTCTAGAGCCTAGCCTGTAATTCAATTAGGGGGCACTCTAATAAGTCGTTTCCTAGCTGAACCTGATTTTGCAGAAAAATTCTAATTTGGCGCAGTACTGTATGATTTTGAAGTGAATTACAAGTAAAGAGGGCATGCATAAAGAGAGCAAAGAAAGGTACAAGTTTGATTTCCACTTTAATATTCTACTTGAAGACCTGTTCAGTTACCGGTTCCTTCTATTCAGTAAGTCATTACCAAAAGAGGTCCTTTCTTCTATGATGCACTCCTAGAATTAATCAATGGATGATTTATTTATAGCAAAAATACTGGGGAAACTAGATCTGGACATTTTCGACTATCGATATATTACGATGTATCAACCACGCCTAAACTATTTATTTAAAACTCAAAAGTGCA